GAATTTTGACTTTTAAAATCAATTTTCGTTTTTTTTCTAAAAACTGGTCAAATGTTACTTTGGAAATAGACATGGGTTATTGGATCATTTTCAATGATTTCTTCTCTAGAATGTGATATTGACTTGGAGTATATATCAAACCAATTATGCACCTCCGTGTCTAACTCCCTGAATTGGAAATTGGGTACTCATTCCCCAACAAAGCTTTATCTGCCCTTGGGGTTCAATAAGAGAAGTTGCCCCACTGGATTTTGGTCCTGGTATATTTCACCGATTACACTTGAGGGTCGGGAAGGGTAAAAACCATAAAAAATAATAAAAATGGTAAAAATCAAAAATAAAAAAATCGGACTGCTTAAGGAAGATTACTATCAAGAATGAACAATTCTGGCCTGAAAAATGAATTCTAAATAGGCTGGATGGATTTAGATCGACGTTGTGCAGAAATTAAATCATTCTGATCAATCATATCGAGTCTGAAATCAATATTTAATGGTCCGTTTAATTGTAAAAATGAAATTTGGATAGAAAGAAAATGAATTCCAGAGAATCGAAATATCTAAAAATTATTTTCCCGAGAATTGTAAATTATTGTGTTTGATTGGTATAATTTTTCACGTGGAAAATGTTGAAATAAAAGTATTTTTTGGTGTTCGTTTGACTTGTTTTATATGAAAATTGTCAATTAAAAGGATAAAATTTATTGGTATTGGAGATAAAATTTGTTTTCATTGTCAAAAGAAAAAAAAAAGAAAATCATCTATCTTTTAATGTTCGTTTGATTTTGTTTTACATGAAAATTGTCAATGAAAATGAAATATTTTTTTATAATAATTCTTAGAATTTGTTTCCATTTACACAAAAAAAAAAAAAACAAAAACAAAAAAACTACTACAGTAACCCTGGAAATTGAAATTCTCACCATATTGGTGAGAATTCCAATTCAAGGAAAAGCTAGAAATTGGCTTATGTGGCAAGAAATGTGAAATTCGAATTCTAGGGAAAATTTTGTCAATCAAACAACAAGAAATTGAAAAGATGAAATTTGATTTCCATTTTCCATGGAATTGGGATGCAATCAAACATGGCTTAAATTCTGTTTTTATACAAAGAAATCTGATAGTACCTTCAAGTCTGGTGATGAAGAAGTTGAGTAGAACTCATTAGAGCTGGACAAAACTTCCGAACTAAACTCGACGGTTCTTCTTAACTTAAATACCCGAACGGGTATCCGAATTGAGAACTGACGGGTACGATTCGATTCTCGATTCTAGACCAAGAACCAAATAACCGAATTTTCCTAAAAATTTTTTATATTGAATAAATCAAATTATTTTAATTTTTTCTAAATCTAATTTTTTGGCCCAATTGTTTGTTTCATTTTTAATTTTTTTTTTTAGCCCAACATCAAGTATTCAAGCCCATTTTATTCTTCCATTCAAGCCTAAGGGATGTTCTTGCCATTTCTGTATCTACGGTGGCTTCTGAGTCAGCATTTAGTACTGGAGGGTGCATTTTTTACCCATTTAGGAGTTCTTTAACTCCTAAAATAGTTGAGGCCTTGATTTGTACACAAAACTGGCTAATGAAAGAATCTAGACTTTTGAGAGTTTCCAAAGATAGAGTTTGCATTGAAGATACAGAGTTCTATGAGAGCATTGAGACATGTAATAAAATATATGTTTTATTTTTCTTGTTAAATCTTATTAGTTGAATAATTTTTAGTTCATTTATGTTTATTAATTGTGTTTTTTCAATTTTTTCTGTAGAGTTTCTTCGTATAGCAAGTCAAGAAATTGATGATTAATCAAATAGCTGATAAGTATTAGCAATACTTAAAAATATTTTTATCTCTATGACTTCCAATTCATATTTAATTGTTTTATGTAGACTTGATTTTGAAGGCTGAAGCAAGGGAATTATTGATATGGATTGCCAATATTTTAGTACTAGTATCTACTTTTTGTTATATGTATACATTGGTAAATTATTATTATTGGACAACTTGTTATTTATATTTTTTTAATGGGACTTTGTTAATTTGTAAAAGCTATGATTCAACATGTTATTAGTTGTATTTATGTAGTGTTGTAAATGTTAAAAATGTAATTATGGTACGGAACCGAACCGAACTGAATGGAACCGAACCAAACCGAATGAAACCGAACCTGAATAGTTCCATAATTAAATTTGGACCCGACGGTTCCAATTACTAAGTACTCAAAAATTTCGGCTTAAAAATCGAACCGAACCATGTCCAGCCCTAGAACTCACTGTGACACGAGATAGATCCTTGTAGAAATCGCTGCAACACGAGATGAATTGGAGCCAAAGGAAGCCCTACACTGCTTGTTTCCTTTGTTCCTCTACACCGTTTTTAAGTAAAAAATGCATTTTAGAATATTAGATCAATGAAAAATATGCTGTTGAAAAATATGAATTTTTTTTTAACTTAAGGCCCTGTTTGATTCTCATTTTTCTCTAAATGTATTTTTCTCTTTCTTTTTTTCAACCATACATTCTTCATTAAAATAATATTGCACGTAAATAAAAAAAATTCATTACTTTTCATCCGCACATTCTCTTTCAATTTACTATTCTAAAATTCATTTTTCCATGAAAATGAGTATCAAACATCATCTAAATATAGCCTCATCTGGCCCATTCTCCTTCTTGGCCCCCGTTTGGGCCACATTATTGTAAAATGAAAATGAAAAATATAGCTATTATGGACCACACACAAGAGCTAAAAAGTCAAATATAGTGGTTTGATGTGATGGATAATGGTAATATTTTTCATTGTAATGAGGAAATAATTGGGCTCAAACAGGGCCTTATTCTTTTTCTCTCTCTTATTTTTAACCATACAATCTTCCATAAAATAATATTACATGTAAATAAAAAAAATTTCATTCTTTTTCAACCACACATTTAAAAAAAACATTATTCCAATCATTAAAATTTGGATAGAATAGGAGTCAAGGCGGAGCGTAATATTATTTTAATGAATAATGAGTGTTAAAAAAAAGAGAAAAATATATTTTGAAAAGAATGGGAATCAAAAAAGGGAAAATTACATAAATCCAGGTACTTAAACTTTCAAATTCAAAGTTCGGGGTTAAAGTTTATTTTTGCAAAAATCAGGTTATATATTGGTAATCTACCCAATCAATTAAAAACCCTAATAATTTTCCCAATTGAATCCTGTCTCTTCCTTTCTCACTCTACAATCTCTCCCTTCTCTGTAAGAAATCGCTATAGAGATTACTCACCGACGGCATTCACGACATCGTAGCTATAGTATGGGCATTGCTGCAATGGCGAAGATGGTGACCTCTGCCCAGGAACGAAGATGTGCCACTCGGCGAGTTACAACGGTGAGGGGAAGCAAATCCCCCCACTCCAGCGAGTTGTTGTAATGAAGAACAAAGCAGTCTAGCAGATCCACCGCAAAGCATATCCACCCCCTCCGTCAGACGCCAACTCCGTTGAGGTGCTACTGTAATGAACAGGTAAAGTAGAAGCAGCGTTGTGGTGGTTTTAAATGGTGTTATGTGTGGTAGTGGTGATGGTGTTTGTGTGGTGGCGATTTTGTGGATGTGGATTTGGTGGTTGTGTGGTGGGTTTGGATGGTTTTTTGTGTGGTGGTTGTAATGGTGTTTCCATGGTGCATGTCTTGTGGTGGTGGTGGTTGTCGGTGGGACAGCGTGATGGTGGAGCGATGGAGGTGGCGGTAATGTTGGTGGCGATGGTTGTAGGTGAGACAGCTGGGGTAGGGATGTTTGTTGGTGTTTATGGTGGTTTGGTGCAAGCGATGGAGGTGGTAGTCGTCATTTTTTTGTTGTTGGTGGTGATGTGTTGGTGTTGGTGGCGACAGCGATGGTAATAAGGTGAGGGTGAGTGGTAAGCGACGATTGTGTGTTGATGATCCGTGACCTTGGTGGTGGATCGGGGGTGGTGCCAGGTTAGGTTGATTGGGTATTTGATGTCTGTGACCAATTGGTCCATGTGACCGTAAACTATGACCTTAAAATTCGATCATCTATGGCTAAGAAAGTAATATGTGACCATCGAATTTGAAAATATGTGATTTGTGATTTATAATTTTGTGGATTTGTGACCAATGACATAACCTGTGACTTGTATTCGTGATCTCGAAATAATCTGTGACCATTTAATTTGATGATATGTGACCAATAAATAAATATGTGACCATTAATGTATAACTGTGACTTTATTATAATTATTTAATAAGTAATTTTAATTAATTAAATATATACCTGAGTTTTGAAGTTTTAAACTATGTACCTGATTTGTGAATTGGTGTAAACAATACACCTGAATTACGAATTTTTCCCATCAAAAAATGCCTTAATCTTATGGGGCATGGATTTTGAACTATACCAAGATTCTCACTATTAATTGGGCTTTACATAGCTCATAAGAATGGACTCCTACGAGTTTACACATACATAGTATAACATTTCATAATTGGAAAATTTCAAATATAAGAGAATAGGCCCTCTTCGTTTTTCATTCTTTGGCCATAAAATTAAAAAATACGACCGTTATCCATCATATCATACCACCATATTTGATTTCTTCTCTATTGTATGGGTCCCGTAACGACTATATTTTTCATTTTCATTCTTATAAAAATGGAAATAAAACGGGGGCTAAGTATAGTTCATTTCAAAATTAAGAACAAAAAAGTCTCAAGACCAGGGCCAAAAACAAGGTTTAATTAAGGCTCTGTTTGATTGTTGAAAATTTTCCATGGAAAATGGAAAATCAAACCCATTTTCTATCTTTTGGCTATTTGATACCCTTTTTTCCCAAGGAATTCATTTTCTTGATTGTCTCAAAAAGCAACAATTTTTTAGGTTTTCCTGGA